AAAAAAAGAGGCAGAGATTAGTTTATGAGTTTAGGGTAAAAGAATAGGTTTTTTAAGGCTTATATTGAAAATTTTAATTGGGTTTTAGATAGAAAATTAGAAACCATTACGAAAAATAAAATAAACCAATCTCTTAATGGGGTGGGTTTCACATAATTAATCACAAATTAGGAGATTGCTTAGCTATTGAAGAAGTTTACTTTGTAAAATCGTTTGTTTAAGATTTCCTAATAAAACCTTTGAATTCTTTAATCCTGGTTATTTACTCTATCAGATTCAGAAAAAAAAAAACAAGAATGATTAGGTTGAAAGATATTCTTCTTTAAAATAAAACAGATGATGATTTTGGTGAAGATTATACAAGTTAGATTTATTTTTCTCATCTTCTTTAGGGTAATCCAAGACAAATGTTCTGATCAATTTCTCAAAACCTATGGATTCTTTATATGCGTATGGGATGGCGAGTCAAAGGTTATGTTCATTTTGAGTCCTAAAGAAATAAAATATCAAAAATATCGTCAACAGCAGGGTTCGAACCTGCACGGGCGAAGCCCAACAGATTTCAAGTCTGTCTCCTTAACCACTCGGACATATTGACTATTTACTGATATATGAAATGTATCGTTCTTCGACTATTTCATCAAATATAACAGAAAGATATGCAGAATTAGACTAACCATGTCAAGAAAAAAGAAATTACATGTAAAGGCGACCCACGACACATATGATCTCAATCATCAAGTCCAACATCAGCAGAATTACATGTGTTGAAAAAAAAAAGAACAACTTGTCGAACATAACCAGCTGCCTCCAATCCGGGATAGGTTTCCGCTTACTGCCGCCATTTGCTTTATTGATATATTTCAACTGATTTTTGTAGATATTCAGGGCTTGAATGGTGACGTGAAGAGGTGCGTTTTTTTAGTAAAATTGTGAATTCTACTTACATTGTCACCATTCAACAACTTTTACCAAAATGAAGTGCGTTTTTTGTTTTCTGCTTTTTTATTAAAATAATAATATAACACATCAGTTTTGTGATAAAAAGGTAAAAACGCTTTGCATAGTAATACCGCACTTATTTAGGTGTGTTTTGAAATATTAAGTGCGTTTTTCAATTTAAAAAAATCTTTTTTTTTAAAAAAAAAGTAGACATCTTAATTTTGTTAAGAAATACAGTTCTATTCAAAAATATTAATTTTATTTTTAAAAAATATCTAATAATATTAATTTGCATTGTTTATTATCTCATTTCACCAATCAAACATTATTGTGTACCGCTAATTATATAAAAACCGCACTTGTCCCGCAAATATATTTTCCCGCACATACCGCAGTTGAACCGTACCACACTCTAAAACCGCTTTTTCCGCACAACAAAACGCTGTCACCATTCGGAGTCTCAATTTCCGCTTTTCCACTAGGTTTGTATGATACATCTATCTTCTTTCTCATGTATCAAACACACTTTCTTCTGATGCAAGATTCCTCCAAAAACCTCTCTTTTTCTTAAAATGCGAGGCAATAAATTTTATTCAGCAAACAACCTAAGACACAGCAAAGATTCACTATATTGTAGGAATGAAGAATGCAACATCTAACTAACTAACTATATGAAATTGAGCAATCTGTCCATTATCATGTAAACATGCACTTGTTCGTCCCCATTCAACATATCTTTTTATATGTTACATTTTACATTTCAAGAGAAATGATTAAAACTAATCCACCTAATTGAATAATTCGATTTGTCAGTCATCACATCTTTTATTAGAAAATATTAATATTATATAATGATATATATATATAATTCGATTTGTCAGTCATCACAATTTTTCTTTTGATAGTAAAAAATTGTTTAAAATTATTGTGGGTCCAAAATTTTGTCAATCATCACAAATCAATATATATATATATATATATATAGTGCATCATACAGAAACACATACAAAAAAATATGTACAAAATTTTGGACCCACAATAATTTTAAACAATTTTTTTACTACCAAAAGAAAAATTGTGTATTAATGTATTGCCGGAGAATGTACTCCAAATTTTAAAAACGGTTTAAAACTATTAACAAAAGTTAACTATTAAATTTTCAAAAATCTAACAAATTTAATCTTACTTAGCTTAAAATATTTGATTAGCTACTGTTAGATAATTATTTAAAGAAATCATGTGGTTTCATTATTATGAGGTTTTAAATGGAAAAAAAAATACTAAAGCAGGATACATTATCTCACTTTATGAAACGTCTAAAAAGAGGGTTATTTAGATATAAACTAACGGTTGACCAAAATATTAAGAAAATACAAAGCAATAAAAATAATTTAGGTGGAAAGGTGATGCAGAATTTTTATTTCCCAATTTACCCCTACGTTTGCTGACATCATCAATATCTTAAGCAAAATATTGTCTGACATTGCTTGGAAACAAAACTCTATGCTGCCTGACACATATTTTAAAATCAAAGTTGAATGAAATTGGTAGGTCCTACTAGTTTCAGATTCCATCTTGAAAATGCGCTAACAAATATATCAAGATAACTAAGCATATAATACGCTAATCCAGTTATCTAGTTAGTGTTAACATTTTTTTTGTAAATATATAATTTGCTAGGTCTCTAATTCTTGGTTGTGTTCATTGTCGTGATTTTTTTATGTCAACAATGAAGTTAGCAGTTACAAATGTTATCAATTATGATTTAATAGATAACACAATTAGCATGTGTGTTGTTACCCACATAACATATTTTTAGCCAAACTTTTACAAACTTTTTTTAACAAAATAGTATGCTAACCAAGTTAACATAGTTTGGTTAACACATTCTGTTAACATACATTCTGGAGTCTGAATTAAAAAACCAATTGTTAATTTTAAAACAAGATCATGATTTAACACATCCAATTTATACATTCATTTGACTGTCTTCTTCAGCTCTAACTCTTCACCATCAATTCTTGGCATTTTTCTTGGTCGTCAGGAACTTTTCTGAATCATATGTACGTAAAGTTATATCTTCTTCATCATCACTCCATCAAAAATCTTCCTCTTCAGGGCTTATTATACTTTGATTTGTATGATCGTTTCAAATTTTTAACCTCAAGCTGTTTCTTTCTGCAAAATTTGTAAAAGTTAGCGATATTTATTTTGTTATCATCACATAAGTTAACATCTACATTATGGATGTTAACGCTAACAATGATATCAAATGGGAATTCAAGTTAACAGATAACATAATATAGTTAATATATATTGTTAGAAGATATTTTTTTGTTACATTGTTAACTCAGTTATTATAGAGAATGTTAACAAGCTAACAATAATATCTGGAATTATATATATATATATATATATATATATATGTGCTAAACCAATAGTTATCGAATTAAATCAATTATTTCATTAAATACTTAAAGAAAAAATGAAGTAAAAATGCAATGATAACAATAACGAGTTAAACTACTGTTTAAGTTAAGCGGATAACTAGTTTAACAACTAATATCGACTATTTAAATCAAAAAGCACAAAAAATCAGATTTAGATAGAGATCCACCAAAAGAAATAGATTCCTATGGTCGAAAGAAGAACCGCAACGTCGCCACTTGACCTTCAATAACTCATCGACAATGGACACAAATAACTAGATTAATGATTATTGCAAAATCCAAATTTAAAATCACAAGAAAAATCAGATCTAGATAGAAAACCAATCATCATCACTAACCCACCAAAAAAAAGCGTTGGTCTTCATCCTTCATTAAATCTACATCCAGAGATTTAAATCTTTCCAACCATCACACTCTTTTATCAATGGAGGATGAAATTTTCTTTAGTTAACTCGAATAGCCAAGAGGAAGTCTTTGTTCTGAGCAGAATGAAAGAGATTCTAGCTAGAAAAATAGAAAAATAAGATAATTGGGTAACAAAAATGGAGAGATGGAGAGTGAAAGAGTGGAGAAAGAGGAGAGAAAGAAGATAAGGACAAAGATAAAGAAAAAAAATTCTCTAATTATATTAAAATTTTATTTTTAATTAATTTTCAATTATACGTAAGCATTCTCTGCATCATATAGCTTCTCTCACATTTATAGGGGTAAAGTAGTCTTTTAATAATGAACAGTAATGGTTGCAGAATCTCTGTAGCTTCCACTTAATTTTTGTATTATTCATTAGTAGTTGTTATAGGACCACAAAATAAATTTTTGTATTATTCATTAGTAGCTTCCAACTTACAAAATGCATCCACCACAAAATATACATGAAATAAAATTATCTAAAAATTTAATATAGATACATGCATGCTTTTGTAAGTTGTAACACTTTTTTGTATCAAATATTGAAAATACCACTTTCACAGTATTGAAAAGTATATAAAGCCAACAAAATAGTATTCCGCTTAAGAAAAAAAAAAACTTCTCATTCGAAACAAATGATTTACTATTTGATTGGAAAAAGGAATTCGACTCACTTCATTATGGAAAAATGAAAATTCTCTTCTCTTTTTTTGCCGAAAATAAGTACTACTCCCTCTGTTTCACAAAGAGTGTCGTTTTAAGGTTTTATTTTTGTTTCACAAAAAGTGTTGTTTTATATTTTCAATGCAGAATTTTAAACAATATTTCAGTTTTGATTCTATTGATTTAATGTATTAATTAGAGAAAAAAAGTTATTTAATACATTAATAAAAGGTAAAATAGTATTTTTAATAGTTTTTTTAATAAGTGTGAAAAATGTCAGAATAACACTTTTTGTGAAACGAAAAACGAATGGAGTATTTTTGTTTTTTGAGGTGAGAAAAAAAAGTGAAAAGAAAGAAAAGAAAAGTATTTTCCGATTAAGCTTAATTAGGAGGACCGACGACAAGCGTGAAGCCCACGAGATATTAACTAATTATCTCGCCTTTGTGGGGCCCTCTTTCTTGTTTCTCTCTCTCCGCACGCACCAAGTCACTGACCTTTCTCTCTCTCTCTCCGTATCGGCCTCAAAAACCCAGAACCTTCCCCAGAAAACGGCGAGCCACTTGTACCCTAAAATCCCGAGTCAAATTCGATGAGACAATGCTCCCGACGCTTAACGGTTTGAAAATCATACCAAACAATCACCGTTTTGGTGCTTTTTCTCTGGCTCGTCTCTCGCTATGACCCTCATCTCTAGGTTCGTCTCTATTCTCTCGTCTTCCCTTCTTCTGCTTCCCCCTCGCTTAGGTGTTTTCTGGGTCCGATTTGATTCTTCTCGCTTCCCGTTTCCATGAAGATTGCGATTAAAATTGAATCCTCTGGTCTAAAAATCACAACTTTTCTAGTTTCCAAAGTCTTAACCTTTGACTCTTCCTTTGATCGGATCCTTCTCTTTAGCTAATCGTCTTTGGTCGGTTTCTGGTTTACTTGCAGATTTTTGGTCACTAGAGTGGTTACAAGATACACACAATCTCTATACTCGAACCCGAATAATGGAACAGCTGTTACGGTTTCTCTGAGGTTGCCCCAATTCAGACTTTACTCGCCGTCTTCTAGAATTCTGAGTAATGGGTATCATCAAAATCATACTTTGGCCCTTCTCCATAATGTTAAAGGAAGAGTTTTTGGTAATCATCTTCTCTCGAGAAGCTATTCGATTGCAAATGCAAGCTATGTCGCTAAGCAACATGCTCAAGTCTCTTGGAAAACGCTTCTTTCTAGATACTCTATGCGCAATTGGAACATGACTCGGTTAAGTAAAATGGCTCAAGCGTTCAGCTTGTCTCTAGCTCGTTCGCACCTGTTTTTACCTGGTATCTTAGCTGTTGGTTGGAGACAGGTTACGTGGGCGCAAAGACCGGCTCCAAGTCCGGTTATAAATCACTATCCTTCACAGTTTTCGGTTTATAAAAGTGCGTTGAACATTCCCATTGTGCTCTCTACTTTATTGTTCTCTGCAATGGAAGGTGTGATCTTGATCGGGAGAGCTCTCTATTTAGCTCTTCTGCTATCTCCAAATCTTGTAATGGCACTGTTGGAGTTTTCATGCGGGTCTCGTTTTAGAAAGTTAAGGCTTGAAGTTCTCCATCGAACTCTGGAAAAAGCAGGTCCTGCCTTTATCAAATTCGGGCAATGGATTGCCACAAGGCCTGATCGGTTCTCCAAGGATTTGTGTTTGCAGCTTTCAAAGCTTCACAGTAATGCTCCTGAGCACAGTTTTGCTTTCACGAAGAAAACCATTGAAAACGCATTTGGTCGTAAACTCTCTGATATATTTGAGGAATTTGATGAAGCGCCAGTTGCATCTGGGAGTATAGCTCAAGTACATCGAGCTACTTTGAGGTTTCAGTATCCAGGACAAAAGATTAAATCCTCGGAAGTTGCTGTTAAAGTTAGACATCCTTTTGTTGAGGAAACGATGACACGAGACTTTGTGCTAATTAATCTGGTAGCAAAGATGAGTACTTGGATTCCGGGGTTGAATTGGCTTAGACTAAATGAGTGTGTGCAACAGTTTAGCGTCTACATGTTGTCTCAAGTGGATCTCTCAAGGGAAGCTTCTCATTTGAGTCGGTTTACATACAACTTCCGTGGATGGAGAGATGTCTCTTTCCCTAAGCCTGTCTTTCCGCTTGTACATCCTTCTGTTTTGGTTGAGTCATTCGAGCATGGAGAAAGCGTGGCTCGTTATGTCGATGGCTCAGAAGGACATGAATGGCTCAAGTCTAAAGTAGCACATATTGGAACTCATGCTCTCTTGAAGATGCTCCTGGTTCTGTCTCCTTCCTTCACTTTGAATCTCATTTGTTCATTGAAGTTACTTATAATAATTGCTTTGATTCTTGTTATTCAGGTCGACAACTTTGTTCACGCCGATATGCATCCCGGGAATATTCTAGTCCGGAAAAACGATACTCGAAAAGGTCTTTTCAAATCGAAGAAGCCACACATCGTTTTCCTAGATGTTGGCATGACTGCAGAACTCTCGAAAACCGACCGAGATAACTTACTCGGTTTTTTCAAGGCGGTTGCACGTAGAGATGGTCGGACTGCTGCTGAAAGAACACTTAAGTTATCTAGACAACAGAATTGTCCTAATCCACTGGCCTTTGTCGAGGTGAGATCTCTGCTCTGTGTTTCTCTTACATTATCCAAAGTTTCTTCCTTTTTGTGGTGTTTATAGATAGATATCACATTGTGTGACAGGAAGTAGAAGAAGCGTTTAGATTCTGGGGAACACCAGAAGGAGATTTAGTTCATCCAGCAGATTGTATGCATGAATTATTCGAGAAAATGAGGCGTCATAGAGTTAATATCGACGGGAATGTGTCCACAGTGATGTTTACAACATTAGTTCTCGAGGTTAGTTTATTGAGCTATGAACTTGAGCTATCCTAGACCTGGTTAAATCAGTGCTTTACAAGTTTCTTGACGTTTCAAGATTGCTTCAAGATTGATTGAGGTTTTGGGGTTTGTTTTCAGGGATGGCAACGAAAGCTCGATCCGGGATACGATATAATGCGCACGCTACAAGCAATGCTGCTGAAAACAGATTGGGCAAAGTCACTTTCTTACACGGTCGATGGACTGATGGCTCCATAGATGGAAAAGGTTTCAATCTTTTTATTATTCTTTTACACATTTTAAATTCCTTTTGAGAGCAAGATTCTGTTTTGACTTAGGAGTTGAGGAACAAATACACATACGTTTTAGAGAAAGAATCAAAAGAAAAATTTGTCTTCTTCTTTTTCTTTTGCTTCGAGTTAATCAATTTTTTTTAATTACAGAGAGAAACTTGTATTTTGTGCGGTATATATCAGTTTACGATTGTGTCCTCTGAGCTCAAGAACAAACTTTGAAACTGAACTCAAACGGAATGTCTCACAATCTTGGTTTTGCTTTCATTTTTTATTTTCTGCAGAAAAGTTATGAGAATTCTTAAGCAGAAGAATCTCTTTTTACGTTCCAAAATATTTGTTTGGTTAAATTTCGTAAATCATATATATATCCAGAGTCCAGAGAAATGTAATCCAACTTAAAACAAGTTCTTTCACTCACTGTAACTACATATGAACAAAAAAAAGTTTCAAACAATAATTTTAAAAAACATTAAACGTAATGAGCTGAATTTAGTAATTAGCAGCAAAAATAACAAATAAAATGCATTCGCTTAGTTATGATATCTAAAACGAATCGTTGCCAATGAGCCAAAGCCAACCCAAACAAACTCCAGCGAAGATACCTCCCAATAGAAACACGCACAACAAGTTCCCTAATGCATTCGAGTCCGGTCCCTGTTAAGAAGAATTCACAAGATTAACAATTAACATATATATAAACATCGAACCAAGAGTGGGTTACTCTTCCTAAAGGGGAAAGTAACTTACATTGTAACCCTTTGGTGCAATGCTGAAGATAGAGACGGTTAAATAACCGTTACTCAATCCCAAGAAAGAGGTGAGGAAAATCATCCATCCTTGATCCGCGTATTTAGCGGTAAAGTAAAAGGCAGGGACGAGCAAGAAACGCGCAACAACGCAGACCGTGATCCACTTCCTAGACTCCAATGCTAGACGTTTGATCGAGGGAATGAACCTCGAAATCGAATCCCACCCGTTGTACATTGCTACTAGGACCGGTGCATACCTTTCAACACATTAAAGCATAATTGGTTTTTAATATAACCATGTATATACATAGTCATGAAGTATATAAATTGGATGGTTTCACTGTTAAATGTTACATACCAATCGCCTAATCGATGTTCTCCTGTGTTTTCGTATAGAAATCCCGGGAAAATCGATAACGTAACGACGTAAATCAAGAAGAGATTGAGCATATGATCTACGTTTTGTCGTAGCAATTGCTTCTTGGTTTGCCTTATGATCTTGGTCTCGTCCATTTGTTGAACCTTTTGTGAGGATTAAAAATTAAACAGAGAGGTTATTTAGCTGAATAAAGAAAAACCATTGTATTAAATTAAAAAATTAACCGAAATGGAACGTTTTCAAATTCAAGAAATATGTATATAGAACCTGTGCAGCCTGTTCTTGGAGGCCACCGGCAGCTAGATCGGCAGCAACGGATTTCGCACCTTCTTTCCCGGCTTTGGCACGGTAGTATTTTACGATAGGGAGCTTAGCGAAGACAGACACATATAGAATGAGACATGCTAGCTCGATCAATGTAGCTATTCCAATGAACAACACTGCAAAAAACCAGCACACGATGATAACCATTTCCTTAGTTTATATAATAAGATGTAATATAAATCTCAAAAGATATGTAGAAGAGACATTACAAGCGCCTTTTCGGAGACCATCAGAAGACTTGTCGAATATGGCTTTTGTAATAAGCCTTAAAACGGAGGTTAGAGCTCCGGCTATGCCTAAACCTCCCATGAATGCCTGAAAACAAACTTCTTAATAACATTTAGCTAAACCCATTTATAATCTAACTATTAAAGATCAAAGCTAAGAACCTGGATGAACTCGGGGCACATGAAGGACAAATCTCCAACCATTCCACCTTGTACAAAAGCATCAGCGAATCCAAAAAGAGCAACAATCAAACACAACGCAACATATGCTCCTACACTTCCACTGCCATGGGAAGCAAGATCCAACTTCACCAAACCGGAGCACAGTGAATCAAAACCGGAGAGTATATACACGCAAGAGAAAGAAAAAACATTTTGTTGGGTATTTAGAGAGTACTTACCACGATGAGAAGAAAGGTGCCAAAGGTATAAAGGCCATACCCGAAAATGTTACGTTTTCGGGTATTGAGCTTAGCTTCTTTATAAGCAAGTGTTGATATAAACACATTCGCAACCAGTTGGTAAACTATTGTAAGCACCCTCGAAGGATGATATTTCTGTTGTTAAACAAAATTGAATTAAAGCGAAGTATATATATCGATTGAAACGATTTGTATTAAAACCGAAATAAATTGCTTAGAGTCATACCGGAAAAACGTGATAATAATAGTCTGTGATGGTCAGCATTGCATTCCATGCCACGAGAGAACCTACTCCAAGAATACAACACACAAGTCGTGCTACATTCTTGCCCTGTTCATCATCAAAAAAAAATATTCATTAAATTTTAGAAGTTCTATACATAATACTCGTAATAAAGATTATTTGGATTATACCGACCTCAAGTCTGCTAGGAATATCCTCTGGATTACTCATTGGGCGATCACAAATCCTGCAAAAAAAATTTAGAAACTTAAAAGCAATAATAGAATTTTTATAATGGCTTAGTTCATTGTCTTTCTGCCTCTTCTACATCAAAATCCTCAACTACCAGATTGAAGACATGGTGTTAAAATCTACCTTTATTGAATTTCAATTGGTTTTTATTTTTGTAAATAGCATATTAAAAATTTATTGAAACCATGAATAATTCAACTTCATACTTGCCTATAACCCCTAAATTTCTAGATCAGTTTCTTCACAATTTTCCAGTATAACTCAAAAAACGACGTCCAACATTAAAAAAAAAACAAAAGCAAACATATGAAACATTAGTTGATGCGAAGATTGGATGTTCACTACGGACAGAACTCGAGTGAGCTGGATTATCATTACAGAACGAACAGATAGGATATTAATGTTAAGACTGAGACGACATAAGAAGGAAAAACTCCATAAAATGAGCAAAAAAAAAACTCACCTTAGAGCAACCTAATTTCAAAGGTGAGAGCAAAAGATGTATGAGGTTATGCTTAACCCCAAAACCTAAGCAAATGTGATTTTGTTTTTTATAAAGATTCTTTGATTTCCGAAATCATTGGATTTACATGATTCGTAAATCGTAACAGTTTTAGTCCGAAAAATATTCGTTGACAAAAATAGAGAAACAAAATTCGAAAAGATTCATCGGTATATGCAATGAATAAATCCTAGCTAAGACATTAAAATAAATCTGATAAAAAAGGGAATATCTTGATTTTATTATATACTAGGTGGGGATCCGTGCGATGCACGGGTTTGCAAAGTCTATCAAGTTGAGTATTTATTTTTTTTTATATAATATCAAAACACTAATGTATTATAGAAACTTTTAATTTTAGAAGAACATTCATAGTCATCAAATTGGTTAGTTGGATAATTGTATTTTTTTTAAAATTCATTAATTCTGCAAACACCATTATTGTTTTGTATTCTATTTGTTTTATGTTTGATTCTCGACAATGAAGACAATCATTAAAGAAAAGGATAAGTAAATTAAAATGTCATTTAATAAATAATTGAATAAACCATTTTAATAGTAAAACTCTAAACCTTAAAAAAAAAAATTATTGTTTCCTTACATTCTGAAAGACGGCTTTGTATACAACGTTCAAAGTCTTGGTTTGTGGCTGATCCATTGTATCCGTTATCAGAATCTTCAAACCAGCTCTTGAAGTAACACGTGATATAGCCACATAAAGTTGTCCATGGAAAAATACTGGTTTTGATAAATACAAGCCAACCTTTTGCAAAATCTGTCCTTGACTTTTACTGATAGTCATTGCATAGGCGATAGCTACCGAAAATTATCTACGCCTCATTCTAAAAGGAAATCTTGTCTCTGTGGGGGAAACAAACATTTGTGAGATCAAGACTTTTTGACTAATATATTCTCCAGTTATGTGGCTAGCTTGAATAACATGTTTGGCCAACTGTGTTACCAAGAGTTTTGTTCCATTGCATAAACCACCTCTAGGGTCAATATTCTGAAACAACATAATAGGTGTCCCTATTTTCAATTTCAATTCATGGTTTGCAATCCTGAGATCTTAATACTATTAAGATATTCCTGTGTGTAAACTTTCTCGTCAATCTTCCCCTTATCAGAAGTATTGATGCTGTCCGAGCTTAAATATGTATATTTCTCAGCTAAAAAAATGTTTTACGAAGTTCAGTTGATCGCATTATGAAACTAATGTGTAAGATCGTATGTATAAAGCGTTAAATATGTTTACCTTTTATTTCTGACAACATGTATTCGTTTATTAATCCCACATCTGCATTTCTCGGGCTAAGAATTGCTCTGTCTTGAAATTTGGATCTCTTTCCGATCTGTATGAATAACCATACACTTCTCTTACAATCTCTTTAACAGGATCAGCACATTCTTTTATCAGTAAATCGTTAGGGATTTCAATCTCAGCTTCATCGTTGTCAGTCGAAATAATTTTGCCGTTCCAACATCTAAAATCCACTTTGAAAAGGCCTCTAGCTCATTAACGCGATCACCTCCAGCACCATTTTGAAGCCTCATATTCTTGGTTAGTTCTAAAACTGTACAACTGTCCCATAAAGTAGAAGAATTTATGGTAGGCATAAGAGTTTGGATGCTATTACCTCCTACAATAACAGGCAATATTTGCCTGAAATCTCCTCCAAATACAATGACTTTCCCACCAAAAACGTCATCATTTTTGAGTATATCACGCATATTTCTATCCAGAAATCAATGTTGTAAACTAAAACTAAAAATAATTAAAAACAACTATTTAATATATATATATATATATAAAAAAAAATAAAGCAAATCCAAAAAAGAAACACCATCTAAAATTAACAAAAAATATATTTACTACTGAACTCACAAATCAATTGAATTAAGACAAAATCGAGTTTTTCGTCTTTACATAATTGTTTTTCTTCTTCTTCTTTTTTATCTTTTAGTTTTTATTTTTTATTTTTATTTTTATTTCTTCATCGTCTTCCATCTTTATCTCTCTTTCTTCTGTCACGTTTTCTTTCATTTTCTTTTTAGTTTTCTTTCATTTTCTTTTATTTTTTTTCTTTCTCCTCTTCATTCTATATCTCTTTTGTTACTTCTTATTCTTTAAGTTTTTTTTTTGTCACATCTTCTTCTTGTTTTCTGTTTTCCTTATCTTCTTCCTATTTTACTTCTTCTTCTTCTTCTTCATCACCTTTGTCTTCTTCGTTCTCTCCGACTTTATATTCTTCTTATTTTTCGTCATTTATTTATATCAATCAAATATATGTACTTGAAAACTTTAACTATTTCTCTCTCTCCTCATCCATGTGTCCATCCCTCTTTCAATATTTATCTCTCATTCTCTCCTTTCCCCCTCGTACTAAATTTATATATATCATATGATTTAGATAACTGCATTTAAAATAAGAAGTATTTCGAAAATAAAAAATAGGAACACAAAAAATATGAGCTAACATAGATTGAATATCATGTACCAATAAGGTTAACTCTCTCTACCATTTCTCTTTCTCTCTCTTTCTCCCCCCCCCTCTCTCTCTCTCTCTCTCTATTTCTCTCCCTCACACTTTCTCTCTCCATTGACATGTCCCTAAAGCATCTATATGTCCCTGAAAGCTTTAACTCAATTTCTCTCTGTCTCCCCCTTTCTCCAAATTCATCACCCATTTCCCCTTCTTATTCTTCAATATTTTTTGTCATGTCATAATTTTTCTTATTATGATTTTTTTTTCCTTTTTTCGGTCTTCTTCTTCGTCTTTTCCTTCTTCATTACTCACAAGAAAACATGTCATATTCCTACGAAATTTTCTACGAAAATATTTGGTAGGAATGTTTTTAACCAATTTCCGACGAACTATCGACGTAAAAGAGACGTTAAAGGAAATTGGTAGAAAATTTCCTACCAAAATATAGCGTCAAAAAAATGGTAGGAAATAACCTTCCGATAACCTACCAAATATAACCTCGTAGGAAAAAATGTCGGATTTTGGAAGGAATATCGAAGGTTATATGAGACCAACCGGGTTGTTGGTATGTCGTCGGAAATTTTCTACGTGTTTTTGACGATAAATTTTTGGTGGAAAATTTCGTAGATCTGTAGGAATATCTAAGACCATTGCAAAAAGTTAAAACTCTGCTTTGTCCCACATCGGACAGCTGAGAAAATTTAGTTGTTTTGTGTGCAACATAAATAAGAGGTTTCTCTTCTCTTCATTAAGTACCCATTTTTTCAACCACAAGACTTTTAGTGTTGAATATATTTATTTTGGGCTTATTTTCCAAACATGGAAAATAGTCATCCACGCTCGTGGATGTATAATGATAGGTGGGATTCAACTACCGGAAGAATTACAAATGAGTTTGCCATAGGGCTCAATGAGTTTATGCATTTTGCTACAAACCAAGAGACATGCGTAAGCAGCGGAAAAATAGTTTGTCCTTGTCTACGATGTGATAATAATAAATTCATCACAGTAGATAAAGTGTGGAATCATTTGTATAGTCGAGGGTTCACGCCGAACTATAAAATCTGGTATTATCATGGAGAAAGAGATGTTGTGCTTCAGGGGAGTACTAGTAGACAAGGCATTAACATAGAGAGGTTAGAAGAACCTAGGATGCAAGTACGAAACATAAGTACGATCCAGATGGTTAATGATGCATTTATGGAAGATGGAAATAGGGTAGAAGAGCCAAATTTGGAAACAAGAAAAAGAAATAAAAGAAAATGAAAGAAAACTAAGAAGAAAACGTGAGAGAAGAAGGAGAGATAAAGATGGAAGACGATGAAGAAATAAAAAAAAAAGATAAAAAATAAAAAATAAAAGATAAAAAAGAAGAAGAAGAAAAACAATTATGTAAAGACGAAAAACTCGTTTTTGTCTTAATTCAATTGATTTGTGAGTTCAATAGTTGAAATATTTTTTGTTAATTTTAGATGATGTTTCCTTTTTGGATTTGCTTTATTTTATTATGTATATATTAAATAATTTTTTTTAATTATTTTTAGTTTTAGTTTACAACATTGAAATCTCTATGCCCGCACAACAACAAATTAACAACAATATAAAACCCAAAAAATAAAATAGAAAATTAAAAGAAGGCGAGAAAAGAAAAATAATCATTATAGAAATCACAAAAAAGAAATATGGGAGACTATGCCACAGAAACAAAATTCACCGGCTTACTAAAGTACAAAACCGATTTATTTTGAGAATGAGCGAAGAGTTGACCTTCGAGAAGGGTGAGTTAGTTGTTGTAGGTGAAAAACATATGTAGGCTAACGATATATATAGTGTAGGATAAATGTTTTAGGGTTTTTTTTAATCTTTTTCGGTGGCCCATTTTACAAATTCGGTGAAATTAACGAAATCGATGGCCCATTAACTAATAGTATAGATGGCCCATTAAAATTATATTAACCATAGTGACACATAGAATTAATGATAATCCAATT